GAGAGAGAGAGAGAGAGAGAGAGAGAGAGAGAGAGAGAGAGAGAGAGAGAGAGAGAGAGAGAGAGAGAGAGAGAGAGAGAGAGAGTTACTTGAGTATGAACTTGGCAGCCCTTCCCACAAGTGTGTGGACACATGGGAATATTGTTGTATAAGACAAGTTTTGAGCAATCTCTGAAGTATTCTCATCATGTGTCAGTGTGCTCTCTTCTATGCCAGGTTGGATGTGGTGAAGGGTGAATCGTGAGCGTGAATTGTGGGATCATTGCAGAGTGTGTGGATGCACCATTTCTCTTTCTTCCAAAATTTCTCCTTCTTCCATTTTTCTTTCAGCTTGGCCAATTTTTCCTTTCCTACACTTCAGGCCAGTGGTTTCATTCTCTTTCAGCACTGCCTTGTCTACTTCCCCCTACTGCGTTCTCTCTGATACGTGTCACTGAAACCAGAGAGCCAATTTCTGTCTCCCATACATCGGATGATGCCCTTCCGGCATTACAAAGTTTTCCCAGTTCCCTCCCCCTGCCACCTAAAATGATGAACCCTTCCATTGCCCGGAAACACATTCAGTGCAAGAATCCAATCCCTCCCAGCATGAAATCAATGTAAATTTATCCCATTCCCTAACATCTTATTGCCAACACAAGATAGAACCGCCAATGCACAAAGCCACCTCTGCAATTTTAGCGACTAACACAATTAGGTAGCCCTCTCCAACCCAATAATTTTCCACCATCAAGTTTCCCATCACCACCCAAGTGATGTACCCTCATAAGACCCAACTTTGCTCAAACGGATTTGCTAACAACCAGATCACTCAGCAAACATTAGTAAGCACACCATTGCGATCTTACTCGGTGAGCAAACCACGACATACCTGAATGCAAGAGCCCAACAGAGGTGTAATCTCTTTCTTCAAGTTGTCACGGAGCATCCCATATATCTTCTCCACATAAGCAGTGAGCTGCTGCTTAAATAAGAGAGCAGGGTATTTCGCCTCAACCTGCCTTACGTTGTCTAGACCAATTGGTCCCGTACCGTTTGGGTAATTCTGCTGTTGAGAGCTGAACCTCTGAGACCACACACATGAACAGAGTCAGACAAATGGTTGACAGCTACTTGCCAAGTCAGGAGCAACCGCAAAAAAAAAAAAAAGGAGCAACCGCCAAAAAGTTGTGAGAATGATTGTGACTTGCATATGCCAGGGCCAACTGCAACCTGCAAGACTGCCCATTGACCAGACAATTCCCATCAGTACCACTTGGCACAGGAAGTCTTGTAAAGGTGAAGTTCAACGGGAACAGAACTGAAAAAGAGTAGAAAGCTACACAAGGTGAAGTCCAAGCCAGAATTCAAAGGTGGGGTTCATAAACCAGAGAACTCAATCATACGAGAAAAAGGAGATCTCAGAGTGGCAATTAGTCTTCATCATGCACTTTGGTTAAAGAAGTTAGCATGCACTCAACCCCCTCCCAGACAGTGGCAGTCGTGGATGGATGACACTTGTGAAACCATAACATAAGTCAGAGATTTCGGAGATTTAGCACCAAGCCTCAAAAATAGCTGGCTCCCATCACAAGAGCGTCCTAACGCGAGCCAGACCAAGAAGCATCAAACTCCTCTCCGCAATGTGTTTCGTCCATGTCAGGGGAAAGACAGGCAGAGGCACCAAGGCAAGAGTCTTTGGACCATTCCAGCTTCCCACCAAACCTCTGAAAACTTTGATCTCCCGGTACAATTGCTAGAACCAGAACGACTTTTCATTCCAAATTACCTTTGATTTCTACGGTATTTGGTTCACTTTCCACACCACGTGCAAAAACAGTTTCCTCATCACTGAGTCATCATTTATTTGTTCCACCCAGCCCACTTTCCCTACCCATTGCAGAAACTGTTGTCCCACTTTGCCAAGAAAATTTCAGTATCTGATATTTCCCACCAATATTTTGTGGGGTACTCATGACAACCTTGCCACCAAATCCTTCCGCCTTCACACTCCACTCATTGATCAGCAACTGTCACTCGTCTCTCAACTTCCATGAACCTTGTCGCTCAGAGTCCTTGTACAACAACATAAGTTGGACTTGTGTTCAGGAACTTCTTCCACACCTTCCACATTTCCTTTTTCTTCTTTATCTCCTCCTCCCTTCTCTTGTATCCTTCCCCACAAATTCAGAGATGGACTGTTGACTATATGGTGCATGCACCAATTCCAACGCTAATAATAATCATCTCCAACAACACCAAAAGCACGACCGAGGGTGAGTCCTCTGGTTCGGATTACGTGCCCAGACACCTCTCTGCAAGGATCTATTTCTCTTCCCAGTAAACGCTGCAGGGTTGATAAGCACATAACTACACCCACCCATCATTTACCTATTCTTTGAATCCAATGCTACCAACTCCTCTTCACTGGTGCATGCAATGGGCATATTCACTCTTCCCCCACCAATATTTCCAGCCAAGATTACAATCAGGAGTGAATCCTATCAGTATTCTGTTTGGCACGGTTTACACGCGCAAACATCTTTCTGCAAGGATTTATTTCGTCTTTTCAATAAACAGTGCTCGACACTCTTCGGCAAACACCTTTCTGCAAGGATTTATTTCGTCTTTTCAATAAACAGAGCTCGACACTCTCCGGGTTAACTAGCACAGCAATGCACTCTGCTGGCAACTCCATGTGCCTCCCTCGTTTCCCTTCAAATTTAACCACACCTCTGACCCTGGCGCTAAAGCTGGAAACCGGGTCCAGTGTCCCTTTTGCACATTTCTCTTCCCCCAGCCAATGATAAGCTCACCAACTCCCCATTTCGCCCCCCTGTCTACTGAGCAGAAGTTCCTAGGTCATTCACTTGGAAATCTAAGTGAAGCCTGGACACTGAGGAAACTAGGCCACGAAGCAGAGCTTCTCTCGACTAGAAATCCTGTTGTCAGATATCGACCTATTCTCTCGAGAGCTGTGTCTGGAGGCTACGTGGCACTGGGGGCGCTGGACTCAGCACAGTATTCTCGTCCTTCTTTATGCTGGAGATATGCGAGAGATGAGTTCAGTGTAGCAATTCACTGTTGTGAGTCAAGTCTAATGCGTTACTCAGTGTAGGTTGGTGTTGTGTCATTCTTTGTCCCGATGGTTGTCCCTACTTGTCGGTGGATTTGGAGTTTGTATCACCCGTTTTGTACCAGTCCTTGAGCAGCCAGGCTCCAACAAGATGTTCTTCCTCCATACCTATCTGTAATCCTTCCCATAACGGCGTTGAGCCAGGCTTGGCTCAACAACCTAGTTGCATGGCGTAACATGCAGATTGTGGAGCTACATATGAAAATGACTTGGGCTCAGCTCGTCCCTGCAAGGAATAAACAGTTCCAAGTGGAGGTACTAGAGATGCTTTCATTGACCAAGTCACTCTTTGCCAGCAGGAAACCATGCCCAGTGCAGACTGGATCACCGATTCCAAAGGTTGGCTTCCACACCAAACCTTCAGCTTGGCATTCTCTGGCATCAAGCAGCTCTTCATCGAGCAGTCATGTATGGAACTTCAGAAAGCACTCACACAGTATGCCGACCAGCTCACAACAGCCACTGGACTCTTCGACAAGGCATCTGCAGTTTGTAACATGAACACCGCAGCTTGCATCTTCGTTTGGCAGCTGTGCAATAACCCATGTGGTATGCCTCGTGGAAACTGAGGGCCTCGCCAGGCCACACCCAGATCCAGGCCAAAACGAGGGAAAAGACCCCAGTAAAAGATTCAGGGCCTGGATGAGGCACAGTTGACAAAAGTCAAGTGTCGGAAATTCCAACAGTCAAAGTCAAAGTGTACCCAGCCCAGGCCGCCGGTCGGACACACACATTTGTTTGTATGCAGGTACCCAGACGGCATCAGGTCCAAGGGGGAAGTCTGTAACTGTACAATCCAGGCCCTCGGCTGTGAGACAATCTGGACGACTGTGGGAAAGGCAACCGAGACCAGACAGCTTCGACAAATGCTACTTAAGGCTGGCCTCGAGTTGGTCAAGCATTCAGTCTTGCTATGCTGCTTGGACGCTGGCTTGACTTCGACCAGACGCTGGCGAGACGCTGGCTGGATGCCGGCACTGTGGGCGACGACGACAGCATGCTGGCGCTTTCTGCATTGTGCGCCAGGCATGCTGAGGTGGTGCTACCACTGGTCTACATTGCATGCTGATGTGGCGCTGCCCATGCTGATGTGGCACTGCCTATGGTCTACATTGCATGCTGATGTGGCACTGCCTCTGGTCTACATTGCATGCTGATGTGGCGCTGCCTCTGGTCTACACTGCATGCTGATGTGGCACTGCCTCTGGTCTACATTGCATGCTGATGTGGCACTGCCTCTGGTCGGGATCTGTGGATGATTGGGATCAGGTACTCACCTGAGGTTGACGTCGTCACTGTAATCTGCTGTGTCTTCATGGTCTTCACGAGATAAGAGTGCCACGTGGCACTATTGTGTGATCAGGATTATTATACTCGTTATCATATACTGGTTGTTGATGTGGAGAGGAGAGAAGCCCGGAGAAGGAGTGGGGTTGACGGGATCACTCTTGTGTGATCATCTCTTCCACCGTCTCCTCTGTCTGATCCCCCTCCACTGTCTTCGTCTAATGGTAATGAGATACTGTTTCAGATATCTTTTCACGATAATTGGAGACTATGCTGCAGATACTGAGACTACTGGTGTTTGACGACTGATGAGTATCTGCCAGACTGGGTTCATTACAATTTGGTATCGGAGCCAACTCCTTCATCGCAATCTGCTGTCTGCTGTCAGGTGCTGATGTGGCACCCAGGTAAGTGGGAGGTGCCGCATGTGCAAAACGAAACGCGTTTATTAACGCGCGCGGTAATACCGCAGGTCTAGACACTGTAGTATTGCACGTGCGAGCAGCTGTCGCCGTGGCTGCACTGAAGACTTCAAGATACCAGCGACAGGTTCATTGGCAACAGGCTGATGTGGCGCTGGTCAAGAAAGAGATCAGGACCGCTGATGCGGCGCATTGCTTGTGGCATAATGTGGAATGCTGACGTGGTATTGCTGTTGATGCGCTGACCTGGCATGCCGGTGTTGAGTGTGTAGCAGACCAGCACTGCGACGTGGCATCCCTCCTTGTAGACCTTTCCGGTCCTTGACGCTGACGTGGCAGAACTGCTGCGTTGGCATGCCAGGGGTGACACGTGGCATGCATACAGGCTGCTGAGGGTGTGAGTGTGCACTTGGGTTGAATTGCTGCTGCAGATGGTATAGCCGCAAGAGGAAGGAAGCTAACCATTGATTGGTTGTTGTGTTGGCTTTCTAATCACCTGTTGATTGTCTGTGGTTGCTGTGTATACTTACGAGTGTGTTGTTGTCCTGATCACACTGGCCGTGGCTGCGGTACCTATAGAACATATCTAATGGGTGATTAGGATTGACTTTTGGATTGATAACCTGCTTCTTTGTATTTGCCTTGCTTACTTCTTGTTGTAGGCATTTTCATATAAATGGCATGGCAAGTGGTCTGAAAATTAGGGTCTCCGTTAACCTTCTCTCCTCTAGAAATGCCTCTGTGCTTCCATCTTGACGCGGTTCATTCCTCGTCTTTTCTTCCCTATCCCTCTCATAGTCTACGCCGATGAGGAAGGGGAGGAACTAAGGACCCGTGGCCAAATTGAAACAAGAAAACAGACCTTGATCGGGTTTCTTCACCAGTTTCTCGGTGAGGTACAATGCGCCGTTCAGAGATTGAACAAACGATTCATGGCCAGTTCAATCTGCGTGATGTAAGAGGTGAACTGAAAGCCGCGAAAACCGCCGTTCAAGTGATAGAGACCGGTAAGAAGGTAGCGGACCTCATAAAGCAAGGACGAATAGTCCTTGACCGGTATGTTGCCGAGAATCTGGACAAGATGGAACACGAAAGGAAGAAGAGGAAAGAAGAGGAGAAAAAAAAGAAGGTAGAACTGTAGAACCACAACTTTCTGTAGAGATAATGGAGGAGAATGTCAGACAATTAGAAAATACATTAAGAGAAGAAAGGAGAAAGATTGAGGAATTCCGAAGATTACAA